CATGTTGTGTCACTTCACATTTACTGTATCAAATTGTGGCTAATTGACAGCAAATTCCAGGGCTGCTTTTGTTGTTGTTGTTGTTCTTTTGTTTTTCCAAAATTGGAGTCCTGTCTATCTCTGCATGTGTCTATGTGTGTATACACACACACTCAGATTCATAAGGAGAGAACTAAGCCAACACGCTTTCATTTACTGCGGCTGGTAATTGCTGCTGTCATTCAGTCTGTCTTATTAAAATGACAAGAAACTGTGCCTTGAGTTTAACACATACACTCGTGCAGACTGCACACAGAGCTTTGGTTGACTTGTTTTTACAAGACATAACATAGCTGGTATTTTTTCACCGTGTGTGTGTGTGTGTGTGTGTGTGTGTGTGTGTGTGTGTGTGTGTGTGTTGGAAAATTGTCATCTAGGAGATGCCTACAGCATGCCAACACAAAGGAGGCTTTGAGTACTGTGGACAGATTTGTCTATATAATAGAGTCACAACAGCACAGATAGATACAGTCATGAACATCCAGAGGTGTGTAAGGTGAAATCAAAATGATAGGTGGGCGTGGTCCAAGTAATGCCAGGTCCTGTAATTGTTTAATTGTCATTTAGTTATCTCTACATAGTAATCATGGGTTGAAAGCAACAGGTTTACAGGTATCAGTGATGTGATCTTGATGTGTTCGTCTTCGTGAAATTAGTTGTTCTTTTTTTCTAGCTAGCTAAATGTTCCTCTCAGCAGGTACAGTATCTATATCTCAAGAGCTGTCCACTTCCAATTTCAGCCCCACGAGCCTGCTCAGTGTTTTTTGTCGTGCTTAATCCCCATTATTTTTATTATCAGTAGTCCATGCTACAGTATTGTTTGGCCTGTTTATGCTGTTGGCAAACTGTTCTTAATCATACTGAGAAAAGTAAAAACAAATAAAAAATAAAAATAGGAGTGGTGGATGTTTATATGCTTAAAATGGGTCATTTCGGCCTGTTGCTAGGTAGTTGCTAGGCATGTGAAATTCAACTTTAATGGATATAAATGAGGTATTATTGTTGTGAAATTAAAATGGCAGGATGACTTCATGAGGTGGTAGAGGTGCATAAAGGCTAAAACCAAGTCATTTTATCCTGTTGCCAGGCAATGTGATAGCGCCATAATACATCATGTGTAATACTAATTTTGTGGATATAAATGAGATGCTGTTGGGATAGGATGCTTTTATAAGGTGTTACAGGTGCCTAAATGCTAAATATTGTCATTTTAGTCCATTGCTATTTGGTTGCAATGCAACATGGTGACATCATATTATCTCATTTAGTGGAGGATTTTCAAGGGTCTAAGTTGTACCAAAGCCATTGAATGGAAGAGTTGCGTCTTTTTCACAGCAATGGCCGCTCATGGACCCTCACAATAGATCCCAAAGGAAGCGTCATAAACTAAGTGTGCCATAGAGATATAGCAGCACAGTCTGAGATTCAACTTTAAAATATAGGAAGTTAAAAAACAAGTCTGTATGTTCTCAGCACACATTTCAATTGCCCTTTAAGCAGTTGGAGGAACTATTTGAAGGCTACATGACCCACATTATGACCCCAAATTGGGAACCCCCACTGATAGGACTCTGACTTATTCAAGGACTCTGAATTGTACATGTGTGCTCAGCTCCTGGTGGTTTAGAAGGAGTTGGAGGACAAAGACACAAACAAACACGCAGATGGAGATAGTAAGATTACTGCTATTAAACCAATAAGTATATTTGTTATTATGGTCGTCATCATCAGTATGGCAACCAGTTTGACACCTTTTGAATTGAAAGCTGTTCCAGGTGTCTCCCAGATCCTAATATATTCTCTCTTTGCTATTCTTTTCCATCCAGCTATTCAAGGCAGACAGCTGCTTATCCTGGATCTGGTTGTCTTGGAGGTTTCCTTTCAGTACAAAGAGAGCTTTACTCCTCAGGGATGAACTGCCGGCTTTCTCTCTTGGTACTGTAAGGTGTTGACCTCTGTTTGTAAAGTGCATTGAGATGAAAAACTGCATGTCATGATTTGAAGAAAAACTAAAGTGAACAAGCTGCAGAAATAAGGAATTGTTTTTCAATGACATCTGTGGCTCATACCAAAGGTCTTCATGTTGTAACAACGAACACTAATAATGAGAAAAGTTTAGCCCAGAACAGCTGAATGAATAGCTTTTTTCAAATGCCACAAGTACAGTATTATAGACAAGCATGTGATGTAGAATATGGAGATGCACATGAAATATTCATGTGCAAATATTCCCTTCTTGCATTCTAACACCCCACCTTCCCTCCCCACTTCACACACATATCCGCACAGACAGGATGGCCTGCGGACAGATTGACTGTGATCAGGACTTTGACCTCCGTGATAACCGCAGCTCATTTCCATTTGCTGTCCTTGTTGCCTCACACACCTCGCGCAGATAGAGAGACAGACTGTGTATTCACCGGACTGAAACTCCCACATTCCCACAAAGAAGATATGCCAGCCTCACTGGCAATTCAGTTCACTACTTCTTCGCACGTCACATTCAGATAAAGTTCTCAAAGGATAATAAAAATTCTCCTAATCTCTTCGCTGTGTCCTCCTCTGTCCCACAATGCCTTGGGGCTGGCTAAGGCTCCAGATTGACATGTCTCCATCTTAAGTCTCAATCATCAGCAAGGCTTTAAGTTGGAAATGACTTTCTGATCTCATGGACTCCTTTTTAGATTTACTGAGCAGAACAGAGGGTTACACTTACTCTACCAACTTAATCTAACAAATAATAAAATACTTTAAAAAAAAAAGTCTTGATTTGATTTGACCTGGAAGAGTTTGGGAGTAAAGTGAACCTCAAAAGCTGGAGTCACTTCTGCTGTAAGTAGTTTGGCCAGTGTGGGACTATTTATGTTTGTTAAAAAAGTAGTATGACTCAAAGTCAACCTTTAATCACTCACGTAATTCCCTTCACACTTTGGCTTTAAAATGCTTTCTGTGTTAGTAAATGTCACTACATTCAATGTACGCTGTCTAATTTTTATGTCTTTAGAAAGTGATTATTAGAGAGTGACACATCAGAGCACTGAACAAAAACAACAAAAAACTCATACAGAGATAATGGAATAAGTTGGGCAAGAGTTGACACATGGATAAAAAGATTACTGTGTGCATTATAATCTCCCAAATCTCCACACATGGCAGGCAGCAGGCAGGAGATGTTACTGCTGGTGCTTGGGAGAGGAGGGAGCAGGCAGCTTGCTGCCAACATAAATCAGTGTCATGGCCTTGAGCCACACCTTACTGGAGGAATGCCACTGAAGCACTTCCCTTGCTTTCTAGTGTCTTAATGCATACTCAGTGAGCAAAAAGGACTCTCTAATATTGATAGAGACATTTAATTTGAAAGTAATTTCGAACTGAAATGCCTGATTTATCAGTGAACCGAGTGTGACTTTTAATCACTGCATTCACCCACCTGTCTCATGGCCACGCCAGTCACAGTATGAGAGTATTTTTCCTAAACTGTGAGGCAAAATATTGTGTGTATATATATATATATATATATGTATATATATATGTATATATATATGTATATATATATATATATATATATATATATTATATATATATATGAGACAACGAACATCCAAGAATACATTGGGAAGATGGCCCCAACTGACCGAGTGCTCAGTGAATACCTCAGGCAGCAGAAACCCAAGAAAGAGGAGGGAGACGAGGAACCATCATGGAAGGACAGGCCCCTGCACGGTATGTACCACCGGCAGATAGAGGAGGTGGCTGATATCCAGAAATCCTACCAGTGGCTGGACAAAGCTGGACTGAAAGACAGCACAGAGGCACTAATCATGGCAGCACAAGAACAAGCTCTGAGCACAAGATCCATAGAGGCTGGGGTCTATCACACCAGGCAAGACCCCAGGTGCAGGCTGTGTAAAGATGCCCCAGAGACAATCCAGCACATAACAGCAGGGTGCAAGATGCTAGCAGGCAAGGCATACATGGAACGCCATAACCAAGTGGCCGGCATAGTGTACAGGAACATCTGTGCCGAGTATAACCTGGAAGTCCCGAGGTCAAAATGGGAGATGCCCCCAAGGGTGGTGGAGAATGACCGAGCTAAGATCCTGTGGGACTTCCAGATACAGACGGACAAAATGGTGGTGGCTAACCAACCGGACATAGTGGTGGTAGACAAACAGAAGAAGACGGCCGTAGTGATCGATGTAGCGGTTCCGAATGACAGCAATATCAGGAAGAAGGAACACGAGAAGCTGGAGAAATACCAAGGGCTCAGAGAAGAGCTCGAGAGGATGTGGAGGGTGAAGGTAACGGTGGTCCCCGTGGTAATCGGAGCACTAGGTGCGGTGACTCCCAAGCTAGGCGAGTGGCTCCAGCAGATCCCGGGAACAACATCGGAGATCTCTGTCCAGAAGAGCGCAGTCCTGGGAACAGCTAAGATACTGCGCAGGACCCTCAAGCTCCCAGGCCTCTGGTAGAGGACCCGAGCTTGAAGGATAAACCGCCCGCAGGGGCGTGCTGGGTGTTATTATATATATATATATATATATATATATATATATATATATATATACATATAATTTAATATTAGATATATATATTATATATATATATAATATTTCCAGTGCCCTTTTTGGTTCTTGAGATAAAACGCCACAGAAAAATGTCCGTCAGCCTTTAGCTCAGTTGACTGCTGACAAGCAAAAGAAAACTTTTATTTTTTATGTATATTTGATCAGTTTTTATGTCTCCTTCCTAAAACTTTTAGCTTTCAATTTGATTATTTACAAAGCACGCCAGCTGCCTCAGGTCACCTTATCCTGTGAGGTGAAAACCTTTATATTTCAGAAAGAAATCCAGGTGTTTAATACCTCTAAAAAATATAATATTTTCTGATCTCCCAGCAAATGCAATTTTACGTTTTGTAAGCCTACCTGTTAAGACAACACAGATAAAGACAAAGACACTTTCTATTTTAATGTCCTTTTAATGCCTGTTTTTTTCTTGTCTGACATTTCTTGGAAGCACAAAAGGAAACCAAACACAAACGCGCGCACACGCACACACCCAGGGTATCTTTTAAGAACAAGGCGCACGCTGTGAACGCAGTTTAAACACGTGCATCCCCCACGCATTTTTTCCAAGACTCTGTTTGAAGAAAAAAAACAAAAAACAAAGATTAAATAAATGTGACTCATCTACGTCTTACTCAACTAACACTGAGCATCACCAGTACAAAACCGAAGAAATATGTCACGTTGATGAAGAAAAAAGAAAACACTACAATCATAGTATTTACATGATGCATAAGACGTGAAAATGTAAGCAGGACATGATAAAAAATTCTTTAAACTGAAAACACAAAGTTAAATTGCCATTAAAATAAAGCTGGAAGTCACTTCCATCAGATCTTTTTGCCTTTTTCCCCTCCGCTCTGTGAAGGAAGTCATCTGCTAAATATCAGTATTTTGTTTGGCTGCCATTTAGATGAATCACTGGCCGCCCCCTCTCCTGTCTCAGCCTGATATGCTGTTATCTCGCAGGTGGGAAAAAGTCGGACACCAGTTGCAGAATGGCGAAAGATGCGTTTAATGACCAGACAGACATTTGAATGGGTGGGACTGAGTTCATCTAGCCAATTTGTAGATGTTTTGCAGGAGTCTCCGGCTGTATTCTCTGTGGTCGACCGGCTGGACTTCCATTACAGTTACCTTCACTCGACTCTCATCCTGTGGAGGAAACAGAGAGTTTGAGTTCAGTGCACAGCATCAGGTAAGGAAACAACAACTTTAACCTCTGTGATCAGCACGATTCAAGACTGCACATAATCATTAATCTACTGAACCAATTAAGACCCAAGCGGTGGAAAGTCTGCTTTAGGACTGAAACTTCCTGCTACTGACAGAGCTTTGCTGTCAGCTCAGACTTGTATCAACAACCTTCTTCTCAAACTCTATGCAAAAAGCCGCAAGGCCAGTAGATTTTATTGTATGGTCTAATTTCAGATCCTTTGGCAAGTGTGAGCCATGATGTCGTTAGTCATCTCGAGCTGAGCTGCATAATTTACATGGTATTTAATATGTTGATTTTAATTTGCATTGCCTGCTTCTTCTGTTTTGATACGTTGGAAAATCTCACAAATGTAAGAAAACGAGAGCGGCTTCCCCCCCCCCATGATGTAAGCGAATCTTGTCATCAAAGCACTCTCTTTGGGAACCAGACACCTCTGATGATGAATTTAAGCATTTCACCTCAAACGATGAAAATTCAGCAAGTCAGACTGAGTCCTGAAGGCTAAAAAAATAAAAAATAAACAAGAACACAAACACTGGCTACTGCACGATCACAGACTTCATCAATATTTAGCATAAACTCGTGTGATTACTCAAACCCAATGTACTGTGTGATTATAAAGTGACCCTATGTGGCCCCAAGGCGGGAAGCAGAGCAGGAAAGGTGACACTTTCCATGTCATTTACAAAAGTAAGCAAAAAGAAGGATGTTCCACCTGTTCCCTTTATATTAATAAAAATGATATCAATAAAAACATATTCTAATCTGCCATATTATACAGAGCTACAGTGTTTAGTGCCTCGTAGCTTGAGGCTTCCTGGATCCACAGGCCAGCTTCTGTTTGAAGTTTGCATGTTCTCGGTGTGCCTGCGTGGGTTTCCTCCTCCCACAGATCAAAGACATGCTGGTTAGGTTAACTGGAGATTCTAAATTACCCATCGGTGTGAATGCGTGCTTGTACTTTCACAAACACAACAACAATTGAGATCGATAATTGTGTACGCAGATGTAAGCGGTCTCAACTGTTTGCAGTAAGAGTCACCATCAGTAAGTCAGATTCTGTACCATCAAACAATGGCATGATTTCCAGTGAAAGCATAAAGTCAAAAGCTCTTTTCTGTCATAATCAGTGATAATTATTAAAAGGATCAATCCAGAGAGAATTAGCAATTCACTTAGGATAACCAGCATCAAGGATTGAACATTTGTTCACACGTTGATTCCACACTTCTACTCGTATTTTCAATTTGCATCTACCTCAGGCAAATTAAACAATACGTGGGGGAAGGGGGGTTTGAATCGGAGGTTCCACTTGACAAAAGGTGACAACTTATTTAAAAATAATGGTTTTCCAAATGGTAGGGTACTGAGAGAAAGAAAGCTTGGTAATTTAATATGCGCAGACTAATACTGCAATCGCATCTGGAGAAAACAATTACTTCGTAGCCAAACATTCACCCCTGTTCTCTAACTCAATTTCAGGCGGTGCGCTGAAGGAATAAATACCAGCACTTCTGGATGTGTACACAAAAAGAAAAAAAAACAGAACACACACACATGCAAAAGTACAGCGCACAACTAGCCAATAAACATTTACACTTACTGATGCCACATCTTCAAAGAGAATAATTAAGATGCTGTACTGTACTGAGCAAAAAAATAACCCAAAACTACCTGCAGAGAAATATTATTCATTAACAATCCAGCACTTAGGTCAAGACTGAAATATCTTAACACATCCACACAATAGGTTTTATGGAACTGAAATGAATAGGATAAATCCTACTACCATTTTTTCCCATATATCCAGTAAAATGTGCAAAAATATGCAAGGCAACCTTGATAAAGGATTCTTAAAACTTGTCTGAAAGTGAATTAAGCCTCTGACAAGGTCACCAACCACCTTCTGTTAAATTCTACTGTAGGACTTTTGGGTCAAAAGGACTATTTTGGCCTATTAGCGAGAAAACACTGGAAAACTATTGCCCAGGAACACAAGTTTCTAGAAAGTCTGGCTCCTTGGAAACAATCTCTCTCTTTCTCTCTTTCAGAATTTTCAGAAATCTTTTTCCACACTCAAGGACAGCAAAAAGGTCTGAGTGTAATGTGGTGTGAATGCTGTGTTACGAGTGTACTCTGAATGGCCTGTCTGTTAAAACAGGGAAAGAAAAACAGATCCCCTATGACACTAATAGATTAAATGAGACACAATCAATGTATTCACTTCAGACTGATGCACTTGGACTCTGACACAAGCACAGATATATGTGCACTAATACAGCAACACATATTTAAGATGAATAATCAGCCAGCCTGGAACAGATTCAAAGACTAAGACTTGAACTTAATTATCACATCTGAGTACTGGTTCGAAATCAGAAATCAGATACACATTTCTTTGGATTGTCTTTTAAACAAATGCAAATTAAAAGATTATGTGTAAACAGCGCTCTTTAGTGCTCCGTAAATCCAATTCACCATGTTGTGAATTGTGTGTGTGTAGGAGAGGAAGATGAGCCTTTACTGCACTCAGTTCTGGAGCACTAGTTTCTGATTCACTGCACATGCTCCTGCCTTTGTAAGGCACCACCTTAATGAAACTCGGCAGACAGTTAAGACAGAACTTTATTTAAATGCAGCATTTACATTTTTATTTACGTCTGTTGCCAGCTGCGTTGGACTTTCTCATCGTGTGAAGGCTTTGTAAATTTGTTTACCTGGTTGTGAATATAGACCAGATGTTGTGATGATAAATGCACATTTATCATCACAACATCTGTATAAGAGTCTCCCACTTTTATACCTGTCGTAAAGTATAAAAGCAGGCCAATTTTATCAGTTACTGCTTTGCTTCTTGTACTTTCTGCTTTCAGAGCTCACTTGAGCAAAGTAATCTATTCTTAATATAATATTTATTAAATGCCAAATGTGAAAAACCTGGCAAACTCCAAAGCTTTCAGAGACTACACCCCCCAACAGAGGGGTAGTCAAGTTGCCTTAAGCAATTTCTGCAATTTTCAAAAAAACAAAACAAAATGTCAATCACGTCTTCCTCATGTAGAGATTAGCCAGGTGAGAAGGGGGACAGAGGGAGTCTGACCTTCATTCTTAAACTCTCAATTATCATTCTTCACACAGCTGTCACCTTTAAAGCAGGGCTAAAAGAGACTGGGCACCGTCGTCACCATATTTAAACAATTATTGTGGCTTCTCTGTAATTCTCATTAATCACAAAAAAGAGTACATATACATGAGTTAGCAATTGGAATGCTTATGTGTGAATAATATTTGTTTACTTACAAAACCATATACATTACGGTCCTGGGATTAAAGAGCCAGTTTGCTGGATTTGAAAATCAGAGCACTTTAGCCACATCGTGACGGCTGCCACAGCCCTAAAACTAACCTTACCCATCGTCACGCAACAAAAGAAGCCTTAAACAAACTGAAAGGAGGTCATCTGGTCTGATGAGTCCTGTTTTCCTTTAAATCCCTCGTGTGCTATTTACTTTGGGAAATAACGTCAGTGCTGGTGTTTGCTTTTGGTGAGTGTGCTGCTCTGGCGAATGCTCTGAGCATCCCACATGGGTCCATAACACTACTTTATAGACCAGGTACAACTCAGTGATTTCCCCCATCAGCTATGCCACACTGCCCGTTGTTCAAGAACTGATTGAAGAACACGATGGACTCAAGGTTCTTTGAAACGTTACCTTCAATTTCCTCAAATCTCTAGAAAAAGTAGACACAACTACACAAATTATAGGCCTTCATAGGTTGATAATGTTAGGGTGACCTATATGCTTAAGGAATCTGATATTAAAACATATCAAACATTTTTTTCTTCCACATGAAATAAACAGATTTAGCTAAGACCTCTTATGTGTAGCTATTTATTTACATGCTTACATTCTTCAGGACTGCCCCCTGGTGGTCAAACTAAGTACTGCCAAGACTCATGCGATGGTTTTAAGGGTCTCCTTTTTACTTCTAGATCTCATTTCTTGGCCAATATATATGCTTTTACTGGCCGGGCCCTTTTTTAAAATAGTATTTTCCTAAAATAGGCGATTATATAATATGAATTACCTTTGTGAGAGAAAGAAAAGAATTTATCATAACCTTGTCTAAACAGGATAATGGTCTAAATAGGAAGAGTGACTGATAGATAGATAGTACACTGGTAGAGTTGATGACTGAACAAAAAAAACATGTGCTTGTTAAGTCGAAAACCTGGTAGTTTGTCATCTCGCTTCTGTTCCTAAAAATAAGACAAACCTTAAAATATGATCCTAAGCCAGGTCGTTCTCTCTCTGCGTGTCTCTGTTATGACAAGTGACAAAGCACACACTTTACAACTTCATTAATCTTATTAGGTTCTGACATTTCATTGCGTTGTTCTATTTTTGTGAAAACAATGCGGTAGGACTTTTTGCCTTGTGTCACACAAGTGTGTAAGAATGAAGGCTTCGGTAGAAAGACAAAGTGAACAGCTCGTGTTTTGAATCGCAGGCTGTGCCAAATGCAGACGGAAAAAATGTCTGAATACAGTGATAAGCCTTATGTAGAACACGTTTCTATTCTGAGCTCATTATATCTACTTTGTTGAAAACTGAAACGATCAAAAAAGTGCTCCTATTTGTCTTGAACTCTTCCTGACACATCCTGCAATAGAAAAATAAGTATTTACCTAAAAAGTAAAAAAAACAACAACTTGATTTGGATGCATTTGTGGTCTTGAAAAAACATGTTGTTAAAATGCTCTATGTCTCTCCACAGTATCACCTTTGATGCATAATTAACAGGTGATCAATGATTTTCTTTTTATTAAGTGCCAGCTGCAATTCATTTATTTTTAATATTGTTGAATTAACTGAATAACCAGAGCACTGAATTACATGAATAAATCTGTATCAGTCTCTGCCTCAAACACAGACATGCATGGCAAAATAGTGCCTGTAATGACAAGCGCTTACTGTGCCTGCATTTGCGTTCAGGGTGGAAAAAAAACCTGATTGCTCAGTTAGCTGTTCTCAAAGCTGCTTAGTTGTTCAGTAGATCATTTAAACTGTGTCTAAAACACTGTTGACATATTCAATTTTTCATTTCCATTTGCTGCCAGCCAGGGCCCTCTGAACTGCGATGACTCCCCTTTTCTCTGTCTCACAATTTGAGCAAAGATTACCTTGAAATTTCCTTTGGACATTGATGGTTCTCAGTGGATAATTTACACAGAATGTTCATACTCCCAAGGTGAAGTAGTGTTTGTTTTGAAAAACTATGACTCCTTCTGTAATGCAGCCCTGAGGACGGCATTTTAAGCCCCACCGGTGGTAAGGCTGCAAGAAAAGCAAAATCATCAAAATGCTATTTGTTCTGACCAAAGCGTCTGCATTGTTCAATATAATGGAAACTGCAGCCTCCTCTATTTGCTCCTCTAACTTCAGGCTGGCAAGTAGACGTGATATGCTGACATTTAGCGTAAACAGTTTCCTCCGCTTTCTACATAAAGATCACACTTTACTGAAATAAACATTATTGTTGGTGAAGTTAGACTTTCCTCACTTTATGGTTTATGAACTCTGCATAGTTTTCCTTGTAGATTTTCTCGAGGTCAGGACACAGACCATTCAGAGCTCATCCTACATCTCAATCATTCCACTCAGACTCTCGGTATGTGCCCCCAGCAGCAAATTAGACTCTGAATAATTACGCTAATTAGGCTTAGAAAGACAATAGCTAAATGCTAATTAGCGACTAATTAAGAGAAATGAATTCACAGCTGTATTTGTTTTCTGTTATCCAAAGTGCACTGGCTATAAAACAACTCCCCTGTCACTCTTATACTAATTGAAATGAGTTCGGATTCATGTTATGTGACTGACAGCATGTCGTGATTATACTGCTGTGGTGGGGCGTGGTCTGCGGTGCCGTGCAGGGAGGGCGGACGCACCTGCACGGCATCCTTAATCACGCCCGCCTAGTTAAAAACACGGGGACTCAGGGGTTGGCGGGTGTTGTGGTGTGACAAATATTGAATAAAATGGCTCAAACCTATGATCCCTGGACCCGCCGTGTCTCATTCACACCACAACTGCATATGTAGCCTTACATGCTTGGGTCTGCAGTGCAACCGACTGGAAGACAATATCTGATAATGAGTGCTTTAACAAACTCATGAATGGCATGCAGATCATTCATTAATGCACTGCAATAGGTTATTATTGACAAAAATAATGCATGTTCCCTTAATCTAAGAAGAAATATTTTTTCTGTTATATGTCTTTACATTAATGAGAATTTGAAAATTTGTTCATTTCTACGTGACTTCATAAAGAAAAGTGCCAATTATGCTTGGGTAAATGAAGCCTCTGTTAACACAGCTGGTTAAATTGTGGTTTATGTCAGCACTAACACTTCATATTGCCTCTTTTAATTTCATCCTTAAGGATCCTGCTGATCAGTAAATACCTTCCATTGCTAAAACTACAAGCTTTTCCTTATATAATTTTTTAATAATTAGGCTTTATACAAGTATCGAAGCACCAAAGACACTTCGACATGCGGACTGGAGGGGTTTGGATTCAAACCAAAGGCTTCCTGATTAGTATGCTATATAAATGCAATCCATTATTATTATCATGTGTGGCTGTGGAGTTGATAAGCAGAAAATGTTGTAATTTCCCAAAACAATTACATAATTGTAATTGGTCGCTGTCATATAAAAGAAACAGCTCGCACAAACACATCTGTGTATTGTAGCTGCTTTTTATTGTGAAACTGACCCAGGGGATAAACCATTTACTGACTTCTACAACAATGTGACTTGTGTGCAAACCTTTTGTGTATTTTGAAAGCCTATTATTGCTGTATTGGGGAAATAAGATGCTTGCTGGTGTATTTGTTGAATATAGCGATAATACGGCTGTTTGTGACACTAGCCAATCAGCGTTGAATATTCCTCCAGGATCACTGAAAGAATGCTTGTAGGACAATGATGAGCACTAGTGTGTACCAGTATATTCTGCTTTGCTGCTAAATTGTATTGCACTGTACCACTTTATATTGCACAGCAGTTTTTAGCCACTTACGTTGTAGGTCTCTAGCTTGACTCTGTTTTTAAAGATGTGAGTTGTGAAGTTGGCTTTCTGGAAGACTTCATCGAAGGCAGCTTCATCCTTAGAAACAAAAAACAAGGGAAATACAACATCAGGAAGCACAGGAAGTAGTCTTTTACAGTTAAACCTTCTGGCAAAATTACAAAGGCAATTTTCTTGTCCGCCTATGTGTCTTACTGTGTCTCTGAGATGTCCGAGAGTTTCTGCGCTGTGACCCAACAGGGCCTCAGCTGTCTCCTGGAAGCACGTCACCCACTGGTTATCCCCGAAGTCAGCTAAGTTGGCCTGAGAGAGGAACAGGCCGAGATGATGAGTGGGCGAGAGATTATTTATATGTGTATGTGTGGTCATGCATATTCATGTAGGTTACAATAATTCTCATCACAGTATGTATAACAACCACTATTGATGTGCACTGTGCACACTTACAGAAAGTAAGAGTCTGTATTTAAAGTTGGGGAACTCTTTGTTACACTTTTCGCAGCGGTACAGCCCGTTCTGCTGGTCGATGACCTTCTTGTTGCAGTCTGCAGATGGACAAGCTTGGTACAGACAATTCTCCTTACGAATGTACAGCACTGTCGCCACGCAGCTGAAATACTGTGCCTGTATAAAATGGAACACAAAAACATATTTATCTTATTACAGGGGTTGAGCTCGATTGCTATAAACACCAAATCATATTGCTGCAATCGGATTGTCTCGGAAGCTGCAGTTAATCTGTAGGTGCTGTGCTAACCAGCAGCAGTTTAATTGCATTTTGTCTATTATATTTTTCAGTCTATTACTCTTCCATATTAAATGTGAATGTGGCAAATCAACCAAATCACCCGAGACTTGTTTTAAGAACTTTGCATTTAATGTGCAATTTTTGCAACAGTCTAACTATTCCTGCTGGAACTGGGAGACAATCTAGCATTGTTTCACCAGCTAATTAACACCAGTCCTCAAAAGCATAATTTAAGTCGGTGTCAGTAAAAATATGGCAAATTGACAGCATACAGCTGGAGGAGAAAGGAACTCATGGCAGAATAATAGTCAGTGCCAGTGTTATGGATCATTTAGTTTTCCTGTTTAACTGGCAGCTTTCTCCTTTGAATGTTTGCAGAGCTGGCAGATGTTAAAACAAGAAATTAACTGTAGCCGTCCTTGTAGCTGGCTCATATTTGCTTCCTTTCATTCAAGCTTTCAGAGCAAAGCCATCTGATTGCTTTTTTTTTTTTGGAGTTCTAGAGTTGAATAAAACTGTTACACCATCTTGTAGACTCTTGAGCCAAGATTAAAGTTAAAGGTATGCGTATGAACACTGAAAAAAAAACAGATCTGTACAAAAGTTTGAAACAAAAGTCTAAACAAATAATTGTAAATATAAATGCACTGTTCTTTCATAAAGTTATAAAAATAGTCCTGACTCAACAGGACTTATAAGACAGGTCAACAATAATCATTACAAACTGACAGCTGATGACATTTCCAGTGCTTTGTCATTCTATAATTCCTTACATTTTGTGGTAGCAATTAACAACTGCAGGCTGCTTTAAGGCAGCTGACAAAAGATCTAAAACTGAAGCTAACCACAAAAGACAAACAAACCTCCCATATAAGAGCTTGAGGAAGGTTTAGCTGACAGAGAAGAGGTGGTGCACCTTTCCCTTGTGCAGTGTTGATGCGTAAACAAGACTTACACAAAACAAGTTATCAGTAGGAAACATGGACTGCTACCTCATTCGGGAACTGAACATGTAATCTTTCAATAAAAAAGGAGCAGCATTTAAAAAAAAACGACAAACAAACAAAAAACAGCAGAACACAGGAGTGGAATAATTCAACAAATACCAAAATCTGTATGCAAATATCACGCAGTCAATCTAGAGTGAAGCTAAAAATAAGTTAGCTTCTTTAAAGCAGCACTGATGCACAATCCCTTTTACTGTTTGTGATTTTTAAATTGATAAAGAAAAAAGGAGTGCACTAATATTAATATTGAGCAGCACATTAAAAGAAACATTCATCAGCGCTCCAGGTGAATAACCCTCAGTGGATGTGTTGTTTTCATCTAAACATTGTAAGTATTCTTTTGGTATTTTCTTGTGTTTTATGCTGCCTTACTTTTAAAATCATGACTTAAAAGTGATGAAATTAAACGATAAAATCCAAAAGAAAAGTGAGATCGAGAGGAATAAAAGTGGACCTTTCAGAGCGGACAGTTTTAAAGAGGGTGAAAGAGAAATATTAAATAAAATAAAAATAAACTCAGATCAAATTTGGCATCAACTGTAAAACTGTTGCCAACAAGTTGGCCCAGCTGGTAGATGCATGCTGTTTACACATCTCTATTTGACTTCCAAACAATCTTGGAACTGTTTAAAAAGAGAGCAGAGGGAGTTTGAGAATTCTTTGCATAATAAATGCAAGATGAGACGGATCTCTTTCTCTCTTCCTCTCTAGTTTTGAAATAGTGCTAATGTGCTAATGTATGCGCGCGCACAAGCACGCTGACATATACACACGGCTGCGGTGCAAGGTTATATGCAAAGACCCAAACTTGTGCATTTGCAATACACATACAATGAGCTGAACTTCTTTCTGTTAGGAATTTAAATTAAAGTGTACACAGTCAAACAGCATCAAATTAAAATGCAGCGATATTGCTGTAATTTAAACAGATATTAGCTCCTTAGGCGGCAGAACTCACACTGGTAAAATCAACAGCTAAAAAGGAAAGAAATGCTAATTCTATGGGGGGAAAAGGCTATTCTCTCATCCTGTGGAGACGCTCGGCATTTGATTTCCATAAATATAAATATAAAGAATGCACACAGCACAGGAACTGCATCTCGTTGGGAAAAGGCACGCACGTGGACGTGCCTGCATGCAAACATACACGCGGTTAAGCACGGGGTGATGAATGTGATATACCTGCACATGCTTGGAAAAACCACAGAAATTTTTTTTTTTCTTCGATTCACCAGAGGGTATTTCTTCTATCAGGAGAACAGGTCTTAAACAAGATGTTGGAATTGAAGCCAGAATTTAAAATGAAATGCTTTAAAATGCATTCTAAACAACAACTACAAGCTAGAGCTGGGCCAGACTCATTACTAATGTTGGCCTAAATGAGTCTATCAAAGACTCTTTCTAGGATGCCGGCCAAATTCGTGCGCGCACACACAAACACACACACGCTGACAGAGCAATGCTGTTCCTTCGTTATACAGCCCACACTCGCTGTAAACTGTTTAGTAAGAGCATGGAATGTGAAAAGGCCATTGTGTTCACAGCGTCACTCATGAGAGGGTTGATGATGTCCTCTGTCCTCATGACCTCTACAGATATTGCCAGTCAGACTTAGAGCTCTTTGACACTTTTTCCCCCTCTAGCTAACACTGACTCACATCCTCATAATCTGTCCACCCATCCATCTACCCAGTACACATGCCACACGGCAAGAACCCCTCTTGAACACTTAGTAAGGCTTTTTTTTTTTAATTAGGAGAATTCCTCCCGTTAGCAACAGCGCTCTCCCCCTCAACACTCCACTCCCATTTTCCGCCTGCCTCATCACGTTTTGCAGACTTGGGCAGATTGGAGCGCTGGAAGGCTGGAGAGGTGGGAAGGCGATGAGTGGGGAAGGTGGTAGAAGGGTGGACGTAACAAGAGAAAAGAAAACAGGATGCTTTTTGAAAGCACGGGGTTGTTGAGGACTCCTAATGTTGGCAGATGCTACAGACAATGAGCGGATAGAGGTCATCGCGATCTGAACCATAGTGATTCCCACAAAACTAGACCACTCTAAATAAATCCCACTGCATTTGTCATCATCTTTCCAGTTCTCCCTTTGTGTTTTATTCTCTCCCTCAGTATTCCAGTGTATACACAAAAGCCTTGGGGCAAAGTCTTAACCTTAAGCACACTGAGGAACGCCTGGAAGAGTAGCATGACTAACGCTGCACATAAAAACACACACACTACAATGCAAAAATACGTGTGCACACTTACCTAAAGATTCAGAAACATTAACACACACACACACATAGCTCTGAAAATAGTTTTCATTCTTATCACACCAAATCCCTGTGTCACCTTCTGGCACCTAAATGCAATTAAAATTTGTATGTGGAAGGGCAACCAAGTGAAAATCTACTTCACATAATTGACGTGGCTGCACATGCCAACTTTAATGCTTGTCCCCAAACCCCAACACACACATTGCTACATTAATTAGAAATAGCTTGTATGCTTGCATCTGTGTGCGCGCACACACACACACACGCAAACAGTCACACACTTACATGGAGGAAAACAGGTAGAATGTCAAATTAGATTCCTTCAAACTATAAGCTAATGATTTGAATTCCATTATTATAACCAAAGCCGCAGCCTCAGAGTGCACGAGAGACAAGCTTCTTAAAGCCTTTCAATTACAGAATCAGTAGGTGGTACGCAGGGCAGACAGCTAAGAAGACAGAAAAGAGGACAGGACAGAGGATAAGAAGAGGGGAAAAAATAAGAAAAACAAGAAAAAGAGGGATTTCTCACCTTTCAACCCTCATCCTGACTTTACCTTTTCTTAATAACCCTTGTCACTTCTATCCAGTCCACTCTTCACTACTTTCTTTACACCTTCTTCTGTGGCCTTGGTCCCCGCCCTCCCCCAAGAAAAAAACATCCCTCAGTGCAGCTTTGTAAGTGACATGTAGCTTGAGTGGCTCTGCCTGCCTTTTTCCACTCATCAGCTCTCAGTCTCCCACATTTTCTATCTGCGCCACTTCCCTTCTGGTAATGTTATGCCCTATAGGCTTCCCACACCTCCAAAAACATAATTAGAAATTTTTATTAGAAGCGACATTGATCTTGAAGCTACCCGTAAGTGGCTTCCAATTAAATGCGAGGAATGAGGCAGACTAGTCTGAACTAAATCTCATTAATTAGAAATTTTAGGAGTGGCGCATCACATTTAGATGCACTCTGCTTTTGGTCAAAAGGTTGATAATTCTGTGCAATGACACCTCTTAAAATGGCACACATTCAATTTGAAGGTTCTTGTGTGCTCATCTAACGGCGTTTGGCTTTACTGCTAATACGTAAGCATCGCTATCTCCCTCCCACAGCTAAAACAAGAGAAGCATGACTCTAATCCATGAAGTCATAGCAAGGCACAGCCTACAGCTGCTCTGTTTACAATGAATGGAAGACTGACTGTGGATTTGTGTTTGTCTAAATGCTTACATTTAAATGAGGCTGAGCAGCAGTCAGGTCTAAAAATCACTGGAACCATGTCTGTTTACAGAAAAGCTTCTTTGATAGTTTTTAATAAGAGGCCTTCAATCACATTATGATCCTGTGATGTTTAGCAGTAAGGATTGCTTTCATCGTGCATTTTGTGGGTTCAGTTCAGTGATAATGGCTTTACTGGCATGACCATATTCAGACTCGGCTGTGCTGTGTATGAATTCTGACATGAATTTAAAAGAAATTCTGGTTATTTTCTTACAGGACAGGGAAAAAAATACAGGTTTTTTTGTTTTCAGAATTAAATTTAACTTTTCTTTTCTAACTCCCTGTCAGTTATTTGCACTTTGTGAGTTCCTGATTTTTCAGCAATTTCCCTTTCATATAGTGTATTACATTGCATATTAATTACATACAAAGTGAAATATTTCAAGCCTTTTTTTAATTTAATTTTGAAGATGATGGCTTGCAGCTCTTAATGCTCAGAAATCCAGTATCTCAGATTATTATTCCACGATTAGATAAAAAATGTTGGGGCTCCTTTTACTGCATTGGAGTGGCGCTTGTGGCAAAGCTGAGGTGTTACTAAAGTCCTTGCTGCCTTCAGCTCATCTGGATTTTGGGATTTTCCTCATCTTCCTCTTGAAAATACCCCATAGATTCTCTGTGTGGTTCAGGTCAGGCGAGTTGGCTGGTCAGTGAAGCACAGTAATAACATGGTCAGCAAAGCTTTTGGCAAAGTATGACGTACTTCAAAATCTCCTGTTTAACGCCCGCATTGACTTTGGACTTTGATTAAATACACCTGACCAACCTCCACCAAAATCAGCAGATGACATGGCACCCAAATCATCACAGACTGTGGAAACTTCACACTGGACTTCAAACACCTTGGACTCTGTGCCTACTTACTCTTCAAGTAGACTCTTTGACCTTGATTTACAAATGAAATGCAAAATGTACTTTCATCTAAAAAGAGGACTTTGGACCACTCCAGTTCCTTTTCCTTCTGACACCATCTCTGGTTTAGTAGTGGCTTTACATCACTGATATTAGCAATGCAACAGTTGTACCTCCTTTCCTAAAGACATCTGCGTGGTGAGTAGGGCTGCCACAAACGATTATTTTGATAGTCGACTAGTCACCGATTATTTTTGCGATTAGTCGACTAATCAGATCGTGCATCCATTGGACGTAAAACGTACAGCTTATTGCACCAACAGCATCTGCTCTTATATAACTATCATTAGCTTACAGCTTTAAGTGTTTAAGGTATGTACTAACTAAAAATAAAGACAAGATGATAGTTTATTAAAGTTTAATTAAATTTGCAGATTGTTTCGGTGAAGTTTAATAAACTCCTTGCTTGTCATCCCATTCCAGTGAACTTTTCACTAATACGGTTTGGTACACCACTCTGCAAACAGCCAGCTCTTTCAGCAGTAACCTTATGTAGCTTACTCTCTTTGTGGAGGGTCAAGCATTATCATCTGGAAAACTGCTAAGTCAGCAGTCTTCCAAGTGACTGCAGTTGAATGTAATGCACTACACCAGGATACACTTTCTGTAATGCTGCATTTTGGATTTTCATGACCTAAAAACTGTAATCGCCTAAATAAACATATCACTATATTTATTTCCATTCATGTGTAATGAATACAGAATATATGAAACAAAACACAATCATTTTTGCAATATTCTATTTTCTCCAGACGCAGCTGTATACTAGGGGTGCAATGATACACAAAATTCATGGTTCGGTTCGATACTTTGGTGTCACGGTTCG